AGATGCTCAAAGTCCCAACCAGAACAGAAGATTCTTCAAGACCAAGGACATGCTTGTTTCCTCAGAGTACTGTTTGATAGGGACCGGCAATTTAAACATTGGCTATCTAAAATGCGGGGAAATGAAGTGGCTGGCTTACACACTTTTGTGGGTGTGCTTACACTCAAAATGAGGAGGGCAAGAGAGGATCCTCACTAAATAGTTTCCTCTTCACGATGGGTCTGGAGAAGAGGGGGTGGGGGAAGATGCCGATAGGATTATATGATTCAGCAGTGAGCGTTGATTGTTAACAGCTTTAATTGTGATTGTAAAAACTGTAATTGTAGAAGCTATAAGTGTGAAAGAGTGGACTAAGGAGGAGGCACTGCAGGACTAGAGTGCAGTGGCCAAACCTAAAGTCCATTAAAGGTTTTGCTTATGCTGATACCTCATGAGGCTCAGAGAAAGGGAGTAATCCTCTCAGTTAAGTTTTATCAGAGGCCAGAAAGAGTGAAGATGAACTGTTGGAGAGCCTGACCAAATCGGATGGACACCTGCAGCAAACCTGAATGGCTGGTACCTGAGCAACCTCAAGTCACCCTGTGGACTTTTTGCCCTATTGAAAGACTAATTGTTAATGACTGTTTTGGACTGGTAAAATAATTGGGAGGGGGAAGTTATCCTCCAAATATGAACAAACCATGGCTAGAAAAGCCAGGGGGTGGCCTGCAGTGTGATTGATTACATTTGTGCCGCCTTTCTAGCCATGGTCTTGTAATTCCCACCCAGGTGATTCGGCAGGACTGTGTGATAGGGTAATTGTGGCCCACCAAGGGCCATCAGTTTTGCCTTAAAAGAGAGCCAATTCCAGAGCAGAGAAGATCCTACCACCACCGAGGAAGGACAACCAGGAGTGAAGAGCATGTCCTTGGGACCCGGGATCCTGGAAGCAGGAGACAGAGAGAGAGAGAGAGGGAGAGAGAGAGAGCTGTAACCCTGAAGATGGAGAAAAGCAGTAGCAGGAGACACTCAGCAGCAAGCGACAGTGCCGTGGACTTCCCAGCCACAGAGAAAGCTGAGTGCCTTTGATCAGAGACTGAGGCTCAGGGAGAGGCCTGCCTGTGAGGACAGCTGGGAAGAGACTATCTTGATGGAAGAACTGTATCCTGAATGTTCTTGAGCCTGAACTGTAACTGTTACTTCCCTAATAAACCCAATAATTGTGACTATGGTCTGTGACTTTTGTGTGGCCAGTGCAATGAATTATCAAACCCAGTAGAGAGGGCTGTGGGAGGGACTTTAGTAAAGATGGCAGAGACAGGAGATGTGTCTGATCTCCACCTCATAGGAATCAGTCTTGGGCTGTTGATCTTGGTTCTCCTTCCCCCTTGTAGGGTTGGGGGAGGTTAGACACTGCCCCTAAGCTGTTTTTACAGATGATGTCTCATTGTAGTTTTGATTTGCATCCTCTAACGGATCATGATCGTGAGCATCTCTTCCTGTGCTTGTTAGCTGCCTGAATGTCTTCTTTGGTGAAGTGTCTGTTCATGTCCTTTGCCCATTTTTTCTTTGGGTTGTTTGTCTTTTTGTTGTTGAGGTGTTGAAGTTTTGTATAAATTTTACAGATTAGACCCTTGTCAGATATGTCAAAGCTAAAGATTTTTTCCCAGTCTGTAGGTTCTCTTTTCACTCTTTTGGCAAAGTCTTTTGATGAGCGTGTTTAATTTTTAGGAAATTCCAGTTATCTAGTTTATCTTCTGCTGTTTGTGCATTTTTAATTATGGTTGGTATTTTATTTATGCCATATATTAGGGCCCCTAGCATTGTTCCTATTTTTTCTTCCATTATCTTTATACTTTCAGGTTTTAGTTAGGCCTTTGATCCATTTTGAATTAAGTTTTTGTGTTTGGTGTGAATTATGGATCTTATTTCATGTTTCTGCAAATGGATATCTTGTTTTGCCAGCACTATTTGTTAAAGAGACTCCCTCTTCCCCATTTAATGAACTTCAACCCTTTATGAAAGATCAGCTGTCCATAGGTGGATGGAGTTACTTCTGGGTTCTCAATTCTGTTCCATTGGTCTATGTGTCTGTCATTGTACCAGTACCAGGCTGTTTTGACTACTGTGGCTATGTAGTAGGTTCTGAGAATGGGGAGTGTGAGTATCCAGGGCCTCTTTTCCTTTCCACAAAAAGTTGGTGATTAGTTTTTCCATCTCATAAAAGAATAATGAAATCTGGATCGGGGTTGCGTTATATTTGTAGATCACTTTGGGTAGTATTGACATTTTTACAATGTTAAGTTTTCCTATCCATAAGCATGGTAGGTTTTTCCATTTATGTAGGTATCTTTTGAAGTTTTCTTTGTATAAGTCTTTTACATCTCTAGTTAGATTTATTCCTAAGTATTTTATCTTTTTGAGGGCTATCGTACATGGTAATGTTCTTCTGATTTCCTTTTCAGAGTTCTCTTTTTTGGTATAGAGAAATCCAACTGATTTTTGTATACTGCTCTTACACCCTGCCACTTTGCTGAATTCTTCTATTAGTTCCAGTGGCTTTCTTATGGAGTCTCTAGGATTTTCTATGTATATGATCATATCAACTGTGAACAGGGATAGCTTTACTTCTTCCTTACCAATGTGTATGCCCCTTATTTCCCTTTCTTGCCTTATTGCTCTAGCTAGGACTTCCAGTACAATATTGAGTAAGAGCGGTGATAAAGGGCATCCTTATCTGGTTCAGTTTGGTTCATTTTTATAGTTTCTAGTTTTCTGCTGAAATTTTAAATCATGTATTTTTTTTTCCTCCTTAAATATATTAAGTATAGCTATTTGAAACTCTAATAACTCTATTATCTGGATCTCTTGTGGACCTGTTTCTATTTTTGTGTTTTCTGCTGGTTTTTATTCATTTAGTCCTGTTTCCTCATGTACATGGTTATTTTTGATAGTATGCTAGAAACAGTTGAAAACTATTGTAGAAATTGTTTAAGTGCTTGGATGATTTTACCTTCTACAACAGAGGATGTATATTGGCTTCTCTTAAGAGCTTGGGTACACTGCTAATTCTGCAGACCTGGAACTGCTAGTATGCGGGGATCACTTCAATGCAATTTCAGAAACTGATATGATTCAAAGCTGAGCTACATTTCCTGTGAGGGCTTTGTATTTCCAGTTTGCCTTTTTTCCCAGGTGCAGCTCTTTGGGGTCTCAACTCAAAGCAAGATGAGCTATCCAGGGCCTATCTGCATAATCTGGACTCCAGTCCCTACCCCTCTAGCCCCAGGAAATTATCAAAAGTACCACCCACCTTCTCTCTTTAGAGTTGGAAAACACTCCTAGACAAATAGTGGCCCCAAACTCTGAGGTCACCTCCCTGGGCCTCCATCCTCCTTTCATCTCAACAAGTTTTTACTATTAAGTACTATCTTAACACTAGTATTAATACTATCTTAATACTCTTATATATTCAAATAAATTTTTAATTTTCTGTCAAGATCTTCTGATTGCTGTCATGAAGAAGGTTAATTCAAATTACGTAATCTTCTGTTACTGAAAGTATAAGATATTCATCCCTTATTCTTTAACAATATTTAATATGCTTCTATGATAGCCAGCCTCTAAGACAGCCCCTAAGATCTCTGACTCCTGATATTCACATCCTTGTTTAGTCCTCTCCCACACTATGCCAGGGTACGTCTGTATGTTGGATAGAGTTCTTATCCTATTCATAGAAGAAGTGATGTGACGATTTTGAGATTATAAAACTCTGCAGCTTCTTTCTTGATTGCTCTCTCTCATAACTGGACCACTTGTAATTAGATCTCATGACAGGGTGAAGCCTGTCATGGGCACCGCTAGGAAAGGCCCATGTGGTGAGGAATTAAAGCCTTCTGCCACCATACATGGGAGTAAGTTTAGAACAAGATCTTCCAACTCCAGTCAAGTCTTCAGGGAATGCACCCCTGGCCAACAACTTGAGTGTGACCTCATGAGAGCCCTTGAGCCAAAACCATCCTGATTAAGCCACTCCCAGATTCCTGACCCACAAAAACTGTGTGAGATAATAAATGTTTGTGGTTTGGGGGTAATTTGTTATGGAGCAATAGGTAACTAATATAGTTCATTTTAATTTGCTTGTCATTTAATCCATTAATTCTACTTTGTCCTTTATTAATTTTTCAGTTTCCCTGTATACTCACATTTCCCCAGGAGTATGAGCCATCTTGGCTAGTGATGTATACCTGGAGGAAGGAGCTAAATTCAAGGGCTTACCTTGGGCTCCCTCTGATAAACTTAGGCAGAAGGAGTCATGCTTCTGGTGGTCAATCTTTGATGTTTAAATCTGTACCTCCTCCAGGAACTGTTTTCAAGGGCTATTTGACTTAGTTATAATCTCCTTATCCGTGGGATAATAAAGAAGGGTAGGGGCAAAAGGAAGTATTAAGGGGCCAAACAATCTGCTTATATCACCCAATCCAAGTTCAAATATTGTCCTGATGTTATCCTGCTGCCACCAGCAGGAGCTGAGCTTGTTGTTGTGCTCCTGATTCTCAATGGCAATGGAACAGGCAATGGTTCATGCAGGTCAATGTGTAAGAGAAAATGGCACCTCTAAAGAACACCTCCTCACCCAATATCCTGTCTCCAGTGCTCAGCCTGCTTTTGCTGTGGCTAGCAACCACCTCCCATTGTCCCAGATGTCTTGTTTGGTTGGTTGTTTTTAGCTTTTATGTTTGACAAATCCATCGGTTTTCTTCTGGCTTCTGTGACAGCTCCAGGGTTGAGTTCAGGAATAAAAGCTGATACTCTTGCAGGAACCAAAATGTCTTCTCATCTTTTTATTTTCCCCATTTCTATTTCCTCCTTGCATCAAACAACATAAAATAGCTATTCAAAAATGGGATGTTGAATGAAATAAAGAAAAAGAAACATGGCCCTCTCAACTAACTAATATATCTGGTTATAGTCTTCAGGAAAATCCAATAAAAATTTCCCATCAGTTTACCCCTACTCACCTGAAATGGCTTCAGGAATGTTTCCTCCATTGCCAGTCTGCCATACTCAGTAAACAGCTAGAAGGCAAATCACACACGCACACACACACATATACACACACCAACAAAAACAACAAAAGAAAACTTCAGTATCTGCAAAGTTTTACTTCTTGACTTTCTTCTGTTCATTTTTTCCCCCTAGCTGAAACAGAATACTATATTATTAAGATTACAGCAATCACTTTAAGGAAATAATTATTGTACAGATAAAGCAGAGCTACAATAATTAGACTTTAAAATATTAACGACATAAAGTACATTTTAAAAATAAAGTTTCCATTTGAAAGCTTATACCTTTTATATCTAGAATGTGGGACAAGTATTTCATGAGGAAGATGAGTGAGAAGGAAGAATATGCTAGAGAGCTTTCAAAGCAGAACTTGCATAGATTAGAGCAGAGATCCATAAACTATGTAGGATGTATTTACAAAAGCTGTTTCCTGAGGAGATTTAATGGCATGATGGCCTGAGTAATTACAGAAACAAACAGGCATTTGGCTTAAAAAGTGGAGAATCCAATACACTGCTTTCTCTTATTTTTTATTGCTCCCAGTTGAGATCATGAGGCACCATGATCTGAGTTTTTGTGTTGCCAGAAATGTAAGGTTTTAGAGAACATAGACCTGAGAGGGTAACTGGGCCTCTGCTGAGAGTTCCATCCAGACTGGCAGAGTAGGTTTCCTTATATGTCCACAGGAAATGCTACTTCATCATACACAAGAGTAACAAGCCCCAGTGGCTTCTCAGGGCTGGGGAAGAATGCTGACACAGAGGATTAACATCCTTGCCCCTCTAAAATAGCTCTCACATCACCACACCTCCTCTCCTGTAGGAATTATGGGAGTTTAGATAGCAAATGGTAAAACCTATTACTAAGCATCTAATCAGAGTGATTAAATGAAAGTCTGGAACATCATGTTTAAAAGCCAGCTGGTCCAGGGATCAGACAGACACTGTCATTGGAATCATTTCATAACACAATTTCACAATCTCTTCTGTGAAAACCTGAGATGTTGCCACTTATAGGAAAAATTTTTTAATGACTTCAAAAAAAAAAAAAGCTTACTCTAATATCAAAGTCCAGAATTAGTCCTTTTTCAGAAACCCCTACACTAGTATCAAAACATTGCTGTGTCATTAATCCTTATTATGAGAAACATCTAAAAATTATTCAACATATTCCCTACTTGTCTGAAATGATCAGTGTAATGTCTTAGAAATATATTGGAGAACAGTGCTGGATGTGAACCCCAATGTGACAGATTATTATCCAACCCTTATCCTGCTCTATCATCCTAACCCTAATCCTGCTCTATCATCCTTTGTTATCTGTCAAACTTGCACATTTTGCTACATGCCAAGATTTGCTGGTTACCAAAATAAAATAATATATTGAGAGTAAAATTTTCTAAAAAATATACAGAGAGAAACTATCAGAGAAATAATAAGTTTTGCAAAAGTAACCAAGAATAACATGAATTGAAAGAGAGCAGAGATTGTTACAGAGATGTGAACTATCTGTAGAAAATACCTAATCTTTTATTTCTTTGAGATTTAAATGCTGCTTGGAGAGTGGAAGGAGCGCTAAGCCCAGTCAGATGACCCAGGTTTTTGTCCCCAGTCCAGCACTAACTGTATGAGTTTTGGCAAGTCACTTATATCTTTCAGCCTCAGTTTCCTCATCTATAAAATGTGAAGGATAAATTAGGTGGTCACTGAGGTCCCTTTGAGTTCTAAAATAGAATTCTTTGAGTTATCATCAGGTAGCTGTCTCACAGTTCTTAGCTATAAAGTGGTCCACAGGAAAAAAACCTGGCATCATAATATTACTAACTGATGGTTACATTACACTAACAGTCATTAAATCCCTGATATTAAGACTTCAGCTTCACATTTTGGATCATATTTAAACGAAAGATTCTGATTTACCATATATTTTCACAACACAGTGCTGGTAGCAAATACCTTTACAGGAACAAAGAAACTTGAAAACTGAATTCGAAAGAACATAACCACACAGGGTCAGAATAAGAAGCTTAAAAATAGGACAGCCCCTGTTGTTAGGGATTTCCTTCTGAATTGCTAGGTTTTCCAGAGTAGAAGAAAGCCCAACATAATCTCAGAGTTCTGACATACATGCTGCGAAGAATACCAGAAAAACAAAAAAAGAATATGAACATTGTTACCTGGAGGTGCTGAAGATCATCCTCCTGGACATTTTGTGATAAGTTATATACCTTGATTAAGAAATAAAGTAAAAAAAATAATAATAATTAGCATTATACTAAGCACTTATTTTGTCATTCTTTATTTTTCTAAATATCAATTATCACAAAATCAGAATCTTACATGCATTCTTATGTAATGCTATTTATAAGATCTTGACAGAGTAAAGGAAGCCTGAGAGACAATAAACAATGTACAATGATCATAAAACTGTTCCAGAGATACAATCACCATCTGCTCTGGAGACAGAATATTAAAATTAATTTATAAACCGGATTTAACAATTAGTCAATAAAATAATCATTCTTCCAAGCAAACCAAAATAACAGCAGTCTGAGCCTGAACAACTCATGTAAAAAAATTTTGTTTTGAAAAATTATGTTGACTTTTTCACAAAAAATTATTAATGTCTATAGAACATTCCCCACCACTTATCTGTTCAATTTGCTGTACTGTGGTGGCTTGTGTGTTGCTGTGATGCTGGAAGCTATGTCACTGGTATTTCAAATACTAGCAGGGTCACCCATAGTGGATAGGTTTCAGTGGAGCTTTCAGAATAAGACAGACTAGGAAGAAGGACCTGTCGATCTACTTTTTAAAAAACTGGCCAGTGAAAACCTTATGAATAGCAGCGGAACATTGTCTGATATAGTGCCAGAAGATGAGCCCCTCAGGTTGGAACGCACTCAAAATATGACTGGGGAAGAGCTGCCTCCTCAAAGTACAGTTGACCTTAATGACATGGATGGAGTCAAGCTTTTGGGACCTTCATTTGCTGATGTGGCATGACTCAAAATGAGGAAAACAGCTGCAAATATCTATTAGTAATCAGAATGTGGAATGTACAAAGTATGAATCTAGGAAAATTGGAAATTGTCAAAAATGAAATGGAACACTTGAAGATAGATATCCTAGGCATTCATGAGCTGAAATGGACTGGTATTGGCCATTTTGAATCAGACAATCATATGGCCTACTCTGCCAGGAATGAAGTTTTTACCAACTTCTGAAGTCTGAAACTGATCAAACATGCAATCAAAATGCATTGACAATTTCTAGTGATTGAAATGTGAAAGCTGGAAACAAAGAAGAAGGATCAGTAGTTGGAAAATATTGCCTTGGTGATAGAAATGACACCAGAGATCACATAATAGAATTTTGCAAGACCAACCACATATTCATTGGAAATATCTTTTTTCAACAACATCAACAGTGACTATACACGTGGACCTCTCCAGATGGAATACACAGGAATCAAATCAACTACATCTGTGGAAAGAGACAATGGAAAACTCAGTATCATCAGTCAGAACAAGGCCAGGAACTAACTGTGGAACAGACCAACAATTGCTCATATGCAAGTTCAAGTTGAAGCTGAAGAAAATTAAAACAAGTCCACGAGAGCGAAAATACAAACTTGAGTATATCCCACCTGAATTTAGAAACCATCCTTGAGAAGACAAAGTAAAGTATTATAATGAAACATGCAAAGACCAGGAGTTAGAAAACCAAAAGGGAAGAACATGCTTGCCATTTCTCAAGCTGAAAGAACTGAAGAAAAAATTCAAGCCTCGAGTTGCAATATTGAAGGATTCTACAGGCAAAATGGAGTCCTGGTGGCTCAGTGGTTAACAGCTCAGTTGCTAACCAAAAGGTCTGCAGTTCGAATCCACCAGCCATTCCTTGGAAACCCTTTGGGGCAGTTCTACTCTGTCCTATAGGGTCACTATATGAGTCAGAATAGACTTAACAGCATTGGGTTTGGTTTTCTTTTCTTTTTTTGGTTATATGCAAAATATTGAACGACACAGGAAGCATCAAAAGAAGATGGAAGGAATATACAGAATCACTGTACCAAAAAGAAATGGTCGACATTCAGCCATTTCAGGAGGTAGCATATGATCAAGAACCAATGGTATTGAAGGCAGAAGTCCAAGCTGCACTGAAGGCATTAGAAAAAAATAAGCGTCCAGCAACTGAAAGAATACCAATTGGGATGTTTCTACACATGGATGCAGTGCTGGAAGCACGAGTCTATGCCAAGAAATCTGGAAGACAGCTACCTGGCCAACCGACTGGAAGAGATCTATATATGTGCCCATTACAAAGGAAAGTGATCCAACAGAATGTGGAAATTATCAAACAATATCATGTGCAAATTTGATATTTTGCTGAAGATAATTCAAAAACAGTTGCAGCAATATATCAACAGGGAACTGCCAGAAATTCAAGCAGGATTCAGAAGAGGACATGGAATGAGGGATATCATTGCTGATGTCAGATGGATCTTGGCTGAAAGCAGAGAATACCAGAAAGATATTTACCTGTATTTTATGGACTATGCAAAGGCATTCTATTATGTGGATCATAACAAATTATGGATAACATTGCGAAGAATGGGAATTTCAGAACACTTAATTGTGCTCATGCGGAACCTGTACATAGGCCAAGAGGCAGTTTGAACAGACAAGGGGATACTGTGCGGTTTAACATCAAGAAAGATGTGCATCAGGGTTGTATCCTTTCACCATACTTATTCAATCTGTATGCTGAGCATATAATCTGAGAAACTGGACTATGTGAAGAGAATGTGGCATCAAGATTGGAGGAAGACTCATAAACAACCTGCGATATCCAGATGACACAATCTTGCTTACTGAAAGTGAAGAGGACTTGAATCTCTTACTGATTAAGATCAAAAACCACAGCCCTTAGTATGGATTACACCTCAACATAAAACAAAAATCCTCAAAACTGGACCAATAAGCAACATCATGATACATGGAGAAAATATTGAAGTTGTAAAAGATTTCATCTTACTTGGATCCACAGTGAACACTCATGGAAGCAGCAGTCAAGAAATCAAATGACATAGTGCATTGGGCAAATCTGCTGCAAAAGACCTCTTTAAAGTGTTAAAAGCAAAGATGTCACCTTGAGGACTAAGATGCACCTGACCCAAGCCATGCTATTTTCAATCACCTCATAAGCATGTGAAAACTGGACAATGAATAAGAAAGACTGAAAAAGAATTGATGCCTTTGAATTGCAGTGATGGCGATGAATATTTAATATACCATGGGCTGCCAGAAGAACGAACAATTCTTTCTTGGAAAAAGTACAGCCAGAACGCTCTCTAGGAGGGATGATGGCAAGACTTTGTCTTACGAACTTTGGACATGTTATCAGGAGGGACCAGTCCCTGGAGAAGAACATCATGCCTGGTAAAATAGAGGGTCAACAAAAAAGAGGAAGATCCTCAAGGAAATGGACTGACACAGTGGCTGCAACAATGGACTCAAACATAGTAACAACTGGGAGGATGGCGCAGGACCGGGCAGTGTTTCATTCTGTTGTACATACGGTCACTATGAGTCAGAACAGATTCAACGACACCTAACGAAAACAATATAGAACATTCCATCATATGGAAGTTGGGTTCTGACTATTATGCTCACATTCTTACACATATGAATTATTGCTTCATGAGTAGATTATGGCATAAAGGTGACTTTTTTTTGAGAGGTGTAAATATCAGTAACTTCAAAGAAAATTACAGATGCTTTTATGTTTATGTACTGATACAAGCAGTATGCTTTGTGTACTTATTTAAATAACAGATTATTCCTCAGATAATAATAAAAATCATTACTCAGGACCTTAGAAGATTTTCAATGAAAATATTAAATGACTTTAGGTCAAATATAAATAATTAATTAAAATTTTTAAAAGGCAAAGTTAATCAGGTTTTAATTGTCTTGTATAAATGGCTTATCTTGTTGGTTATAAAGAAATTAGATATTAAACCAGTATTTTTAAAGGCTCATTCATTTAAGAAGTATATTTTCAAAAGGCTAGTGCATCATAGGTTATAACCATGGCTTTTATTTTAAAGTCCTTCAGAAAAAAAATCCATCTTTCCTTTCTCCTTCTGTCCAGCCTCTCTCGATTGTCCTAACCAGACTCGGCAGCCTATGATGCCCTTGCTGCTGGTTCACTAGCTCCATTCTCTCTACTTGCTTATCCCTCCTTCATAATATCAGCCTTGTCTTATATCCTGACTACTTTGCCTTAGCTGCCTTACATTTTCCTACTGATCTGCTCTATTTCTTGGCCACTCTCTCACTCCTTGCTCTCTCCAGTGAAGAGAAAATATCTAAAAATTGCCTTAAAATCTTTTATGCTGTATGTTCTGTGGTCATAATAAAAATCTCCAGGGACCTTCAGGACAATTTAGAAAGCCTATAATAACCTCAAAAACAATGCTTAAAAATGAATGAGAAACAAATGAGGAAAGGAAAATTTTAAAAATCACATAAAGACATTTACTTTCCTAAATATATACTAAAGTATGTTAAAAAGCTATGAACATACCTAAGTGTTTTTACATTTAGAAATCTTCTATTGGCTGTGTAAAGCAAAATTTTGCATTTCTAAATCTTGTTTCATTAACCATAACTTATAACAGGTAGTCCAAATATATCTGCATATAAGATTTAATATTATTAAGTTTATTGTAGGCTTTAAACAGAAAAAAAAATATTGATTAGACAATACAACCTTTTCTGACTAAAACAGGCAATTTGAAAACTAATCAATAATTATACTATAGTAACAGAAACAACTCTACTTTTATGGAAATCATAAGAACCAGTATGCTAATTGAGTCAAATAATATATATGATTTACCATGTTTGTTGTTTGTCCCACTACCACATGTATGTAGAAACACACATATTCATAATTTTTAGTTAAAGAAACATTTATCAAAATGGATTTATTTTATTCCATACCTGTATTGAGCTGATCATTGTGCTAAGGGCAAATACTGTGGCTGAATCTCTCAAAGTTGATTGACTGTCAAAGGTTCCCTGAGTATCCATCAGTAACACTGCAACCTACAGGCAAGTAGAGTACATTACTGATATTTTATAGACCATGTAGAGCGTTAAGGTTGCCACAAGTTAATGCCGTAAGAACCAAAGCAAACCATTATCACTGAATACTTAATAGGTAATCTCTGACATGTACCATGAGTGTTATGAATTAGCTGCTGATTACTATAATAATTAATTTTCACTAGCAATCCAACACAACAGAAACTTAATACAGCTATTAAAACAAAGTACAGATTTAGCTTGCTGATCTGCTGTTCTACTCTCCTACAACTTCACCTAGCCTGATCACTAGAAATGGAAACAGGGGACATGCAATAGGATGCTACCCCACCTTCTTTAAGCTTCATGTCAAATGGCCAAAATTTATTTTTAAAGGAGCATTTTCAAGAATCTTGAAAAAACGGTAATCATTGCAAGTGAAAACTCAATTTTATTTAAGAAGTTAGCATCATACCTTTTTACCATCAGGCTTATTGATAAGGAAGATTTCACTCCATATCTGTATGCCCGTGGTCTCTCGTTCAGATCCACCCCTCCATGAAAAACCGGTCAATGGCTCATTGTAATCTCCAATCCAATCAACTGATTCCTATAAATTAACAAAGTCTGTGATATGGAACTGGATACGTGTGTATAGTTTTTCCATTCATCCATTCCAATTCTCATCCTGCTCCCACTGTAGTCAAAAGGAAACAACATATGCACATCTCTTGCATTGACACAAACATTTTATTTATTCATCCAAAAACTAATTACAGAGGAGCAACCATCTGCCACATTTTGTGCTAGGTCCTGGGGATACAAAGATGAAATGATATCATTCCAGACCAGAGGAAACTCACAGCCTAACAGAAGACAGACATGCTAACAAGCCATCATGATGCAATGTATGTGTACCAAAATGGAAGTGTATATAAGGCATAAATGGAAACATAGGAAAAGGAATACCTAATTCTTGGTCAGGTAGTACTTCATAGGAGAGGTGGTGTTTGAGCTAAGACTTGATGGATGTTTAGGAATTTTTCAGGTGAGCAAACTAGGGGAGGGCATTCCAGAAAGAAAGACATAAAAGTATAAGAGTATAGATTATGTCAGGACACTCTCAAATGCTATGGAATTGCTTAAGCATCAAGATGGTGGGGGAGAGGTGAGTAGCAGGAGAGGCAGGACAGATAGATTCTGAAAGGCCTTGTAAGGTGACTAAGGGAGTTAGAGTTTATCCTGCAAGCAATGGGGAGTTATAAAGAAGCAGAGATAAAATATTATCATAGTTGGGATTAGAAAGATTATTCTGGATGCAACGAAGGGTAGATAGTAGGGAAGGAAGATAATAGCCAGGAAGAGTCAAAAAACATGATTGAGGACCTGAACTAGGGACAGGATAGGAAGGGAGAGAGGGATACTGATACAAGTGGTATTTGGGAAGCCAAAGGCAGAAAGAACAGAAGTAATTATCAATCGTATAAAAACTTGAAAAAAAATCAAGTAAGATAAGGACTGGAAAGTACCCCTTAAATTTAGTAATTAGGTCATGGTGACCTTGGTTAACAGTAGTTATACTTATTTTGATATTTGATAGAGATAATAAGTTATTAGCTTTTGGAAGATCTCATTAAATAATCCTCAGATCTAAAACCCCATATGAACTAAAACGTAAAATTTTATTAAATAAGAGGAATTTAGGAATAGACAACCTGAATTAATAATCAGTCAATATAGACTAGCATAAAGGAATTTTTATTTAGTTATATCCTGTCTTATTCTATAAAGCATTTTAGGCCCTTATAGAAAGCTCAGTTTGGGTTATTTCATAAATTGGCTCCATTATCTGGCATCCACCTAGTCAATCTTATTTCCTCTTCGTCTCTAATACATAATTTCTACTCTAGGGAAGAAGATGTACTGTTTGCTTAATGCATAAATCATACTCATTCCAATTGCCACACTTTTTCTCATGTTCCTTTTAGTCTAGAATGTCCCTTCTTCCTCCTTCTCCTGATCCAAATATTACACATCTCCAAAGTCCAATCTGAGTCCCAGTGTTTCCATGAATCTTTCCCTGATAACTCCTGCCTATACACATATGTCCCTTCCCTGAACTTCTTTTTCTTTTTTTAATATTTTATTGAGTTTTTGATGAACGTTTACACAACAAATTATGGTCCCATTTAACAATTTCTATACACATTCTTCAGTGGCATTGGTTACATTTTCCACATTGTGTCAACTTCTCAATAACCTTCCCTGAACTTCTAATGTTACCTATATTCAGAAACATACATATTAGCACTTAATGGTGATCTAAATATTTCACATATCTTAGTTCCGTCTCCTTGGCGAAACCATGAGATACCTAACAGCAGAATCTGTCTCCTTTGGCATCTGCCATAGTGCCTAGCACAATGTAGGACGTGTAGCAGGTAATCAATAAATACTTACTGACTGATGTAATAATTAAAATTAGTCTAATAAATTTTTTCCTGGAAAAAGTCTTAGGGTACATAGTTTAATAACGGTGATGATTAGGAATTAGCATAATGATAAAATTATTGTAACGTCAACTCAGGTCAATGATAAACCTGAGATATTTAGAAAAACCCTAAGCCTGAAAAATGATGTGAAAGACAAGGAAGACATCCACAAATAGTTACTTTAAAACCAGACTCATTGCTGTTGAGTCAATTCTGACTGATAGTGACCCTATAGGACAGAGCAGAGCTACTCCATAGGGTTTCCAACACAATACTTCTTTACAGAGGCAGACTGCCACATCTTTCTCCCATGGAGCTGCTGACGGATTTAAACTGCCAACCTTTCAGTTAGCAGCCAAGTGCTTTAACCACTCTGCCACCAGGGCTTCTATAGTTACTCTGGCAGATCTAAAATTTAACTTGTTTTATTCATTCAGGCATACATTCATTCTTTTATTCACGAAGTATTTATTGGTTACTATGTTCCAAGTACTATAATAGGTACAGGATAAACTTCATAGCAGTTTTCTACTACAAAGAACATAGATTGTCATATTTTAAATCTAATTTTTCTATTCTAATATGAATGATAATTACATATGCAGAAATGAAAGTAGTATTTGGTGTAAACAAAGTCAATGATACATGCCCTTATGCAAGGAGCAGCAAAACAAATGTTTGTTTTCTCTCCTATTTTCTGAATGCTCTACTAGGTGCATAAACACAAAACAAATACGACACACCTGAACCTAAGCAAACGTTATTTACCACAGCAAACATCACAAGTGTTATTGAGTATTTCATCCCAATGTTTATGTAACAGTTAAAACTAGGAACATGCCTAAAAGTGTATAATCCCAAAGAGTGGAGGGTATATTCATTTTTGTTTATTAAATTTTCCCACCTGTCTTAAGTAGCATACTAATGTTTTTATGCCAGAAATAAGAAATGATGAGTTTTATTTGCATTCAAAGCTGAAATTATCTTGCTAATTCTGTTGTTGAGATGTTTGAACAGAAGCTAAAGATAGAGAATATTAAACTTAACATTGTTAAATTGCTCAAAAACACTTCAACTATAAAAGATCAATCCAAGGTGGATAACTATGGTATAAAGGCATAAGACAAAGTTTCTTTGAGTAGTGCGTCTATTCTGCCTCAAAATCCATATTTGCATCAGAATTGCAACGGATAAAAGGGGAGAAAAAATACTAGCATGTTCTCCATTCCCAATCTTCTGTTCCTCAACTCTTATCTCCTATATATCCTTCTGCTTTTTGTTCATCCTGGGTTGCTTAAGGTCTCATTCTGTGTCATGCTGTTGTCTCAGACATTAACACTCTCAGTTAGTTGCCTCTGGGGGTGAGGTAAGGGAAAGGACTGACTGGGAAAGGGCAAGAGGGAACTTTCTGGGGTAATGGTAATGTTCTATATCTTAATAGGGGCTTGGATTACACAGGTATATGCATTTGTCAAAAATATCTGACTGTACACTTAAGATATTTGCATTTCATTGTTTGTAAGGTTTACCTCAAAAGAAAAAAGCTAAAAAAATACTGCTAAATACGATATATATATAGTAATGATATATATGTTGAAGTATTTAGGGGGAAGTGTACTAATGTCTTCAATTTACTTTGAAATACATCAAAAAATAAGATGGATTGATGGATGCATAGAGTTATGACTAGAGGGTGCTATATGTGATAAAACAAGATTATTAATGTTAACAGTAGAATCTAGGTTGTAGGTACCCAAGTGTTCACTGTTAAATTCTTTTACCTTTGCTGTAGGCTTGAAAATTTTCATAATAAAATGTTGAAAAAAAATGATTACAATAAAAATTTCTGACAAAAGTTATTTGACATTTTAAACATTGTAACATGTAAAGTTTCTATCATATCACTATGATGTGTCTATTCTGAAAAGAGTAAAAAAATAAGTAAAGTAGCATCAGAGAAAAGTGGTCTTGTAGTTTGGTGGCCAAAACACTGAGGCTGGAATGGATAGACCATAGCATTTTTAACTGGGAATATTTAGAGTACGTAATAATGGAAATGGAAATATTGAACACCACTAAACAAAACCACAAAATGACAGAAACAGAAACAAGAAAGCTTTTTAAAACACCTCTTACATACCTGGTTGTACATGTATCTCAACATGAAGTCCATCAGAAATGATTTTCCTTTTCTAAAGGCGCCAGCAACAGATACAGCAACGACCTCCTTGTCCCTGACAGCCTCTGAGAGAAGGATCCGATTTAGTGCAGTTTCATCTAACTCAAAGGAATGGTCATCTTTGACAATGAGGACTTGGACTGGTCTTGCCTTTTTCACTGGCTCTTCCTCTTCCGAGCTCCATTCATATGACTTTTCTGAAAACCCACCTGTTGAACAAAGCAGCAACTGGGTACAGTTGATCATCGCATATATACAGAAATGTATACATTATCTATCAACTCCCAAACACCTGACACAGAAACAGAGAGGAATTAGAAATCTTCATTTTAATGACATATGCTAATGTCATTCACACCATATCCCAGAAAGACTTACATCTGGTCTTTCTGATCATGTGACTGAATCACACAAAACTTTCTTTTCGGGAAAGCTCTAAGTCAGTGCAGAGATATCTGTTTGCTGATGAGTGAGACAGAAAATCAAAACAAAGGACTCCACTTCTGGAGCACAGGAAATGACTTTAGTTCACACTGTCTTCATCCCCTAGAAGTAAGCTTATTCATTTACATGAAGGATCCTGGAAGCACTTCTCAAAGCTGAACATGTATAGGAGGAAATATATAGAGCAGCTCAGAATGATAGACTCTCAAGATTGGAATAAACCTCTAAAGTCGCCTAGTTTGGTTTCCTCCTATGCACGAATCCCGTCTAAAAAATCCTAGATTCTCCATATCTAAAACTATACCTTGTAGCAATGGAAGTTATAGATAATTAAATTGGGTGGGGCCAGATTACAGAGGACCTTCAAATTCTTGTCAAAGAGGTCTAGACATATGTCTTAGTCATCTAGTGCTGCTATAACAGAAATACCACAAGTGGATGGCTTTAACAAAGAGAAGTTTATTTCCTCACAGTCAAAGTAGGCTAAAAATCCAAATTCAGGGTGTCAGCTCCAGGGGAAGTCTTTCTCTCTGTCGGCCTTCTCATTAGTGTTCCCCCAGACTAGGAGCTTCTTGGCGCAGGGACCCCTGTCCAAAGGACGTGCTCTGCTCCCGGCACTGCTTTCTTGATGGTATGAGGTCCCCCTGTCTCACTGCTCACTTCTGTCTTTTATATCTCAAGAGATTGCCTCAGGACACAATCCAGTCTTGTAGATCAGGTCCTGCCTTACTAACACAACTGCCACCCATCCTCCCTCATTAACATCATAGAGGCAGGTTTACAACATACAGGAAAATCACACAGTACCAGGAATCATGGCCTAGCCAAATTGATACACACAGTTTTTGGGGGACATAATTCAAACCATGACAAAATAATTCAATGAAAAATAAGAAACTTTTGAAGGTTACTTTGTGTGGGGATCTTACTTAAAAGCTGTGTGACCTTGAGAAATTACTAAACCTCTCTATGCCTCAGCTTCTTCATCTGTAAAATAGAGACTACTAATAGTACCTATTTTATAGTGTTGTAAGAATTAAGTGAGTTACTATATGTAAAATGCTAAGAACAGTGCTTAGCACATCGTAAGCTCATAAAAGTTAGCTATCATCATCATCACCGCCACTACCTTGGAATTATAGACTGGACAAGTATTCCTAAAAGAAGTTTCTGCCTATTTTTTTTTTTTTTTCATTATGGTTCTCAGTGTACTTTATTCTCCTGCTGTCTAGCTAAGCAGCCCACACAGGACAGAAATGCGTAGCACTGAGGAATGATCAGATTTTTCACTCTCCCCAATATTCCTGGCCCCTCCCTAAGCCCCAGACCATCCCTGTGTAGTATCAGGAATGGTTAGTATATCATCATCCTCTCCTTCAATAACAGCTAAAATTAAAACAAGGCATTAAAGGGCCAGGCCTCCTCTAATAGGGCTTAGGAACTGGTACAAGCTTTGTTCACAATGGAGCGGCTCTCCTTCAAACACCTGGATTTTTTTTTTTTTTGTACACTGGTTCATAGATTGGCACTTGACTTTGAACCTGGCACCAAAAGGCACAATATCTGATACCCTGTACAAGAGCTATTAGAGATGCTGCTGTGTGGATGGGCAAAACCAAGTCAATCCCACACAAATGGAAAGCTTGGATAGGGAAGGGAAGATGGTGAAGGAAGAGACAAAGAAAAATGTAATCCCATACTTTTGCTGGGATGGAAATGAGTCTTGTTTTTTAATCTTCCAAATACCAGGAAGTAATTTAAAAACTTCCTTAGTTTTTCAAAAGCAGCATATTCAAAATGCCAGCAAAAATCCCTAACTGCAGAACCAAAAGGGGATCAAAGCTCACTGACATCCATTATTGCTGAAAGATTGTAAAACCAAAGTTTAGGATGCCCTGTTCCCATGGAAAAGGGAAAATAATTAAGTCTGCTTTATGGTAATCACAGCACATCACACCTTTAAAAATATATATTAAAGCATGTGACCAGGGGAATGTTTGACACCATTTTATTAATCTTCAGTGGAAAAATATAACTGTTTTCAAGTGCCATTTTCATCATGAAAGTTCTAGTTAGTGTGTATATATATACTTATATATATATATATTCTTTTTATTTTGTTAGTTGGTTTTGAAGTGCAGCAAGAGACCAATATCGCATTGTAGTCAATCAAACAAAAGAGAACAGACGGCTAAGCAGTTTCCAAATGGTTATTTTATCAGATTGTTTGAACATTAAATTTATCTTTGTTTGCAATCCAAAATAGTTACCTGAAGTTTGCTGTTTTGTGTGTATGTGTGTGTGTTTCCTTTTATTGTATATTTGTTTTCTAAACTCTTTGGCACAATTTTCTGGGGGTGTTCAGACTGCCACAATACAAGTCAGGAGAGAGCTTTCC